GAGAGCAGTTCCCCTCAAACATACTTGGCAAAACATATATCAATATATTATGGCTTGTACCAGTTTTCATTAAGTGATTTTTTGCTTCTGAGATCATTGATCTATTTCTCTTTTGTGTTATTCCTTTGGAATGTTTTTTTGGTTTGTTTTAAGATTTCTTCATGCTGACACCTTTTTGACTGCTGGGTTTGTGGAGTCTTTCTTTATTCAGTACTGGTAACTCCCAATAATGCTGTTTATGTTTGCCAGAGTGTTAGCAGTGGCCTAGCGCTGATCCTCAGACACCATTTCCAAATTCTGTGGCAGTGATTCCATCTCTGTATTAGTCCTATAACCTTTACAGGGTTTGTTTTGAGCTATTCTTTGAATTTTAGAAAAATATCCACATCGCTGGAGAGATGGCTCAGCAGTTAAGAGCACTGGCCATTCTTCCAGAGGTCCTGAGTTCAATTCCCAACAACCACATGATGTCTCACAACTATCTCTAATGAGATCTAGTGCCCTCTTCTGATCTGCAGGCATACATGCAGACAGAGCACTGTACACATGATAAATAAATCTTTTTTTTAAAAAAATCCATATTAGGGGGCTGGAGAGGTGGCTCAGAGGCTAAGAGCCTTTTAACACTGCTTGTGCTTCCAGAGGTCCTGAGTTCAATTCCCAGCAACCACATGGTGGCTCACAATCTTCTATAATGATCTGGTGCTGTCTTCTGGCCTGCAGGCATGCATGCTGGCAGAACACCATATGCAAAATAAATAATATCCATATTATTCTCCTTTCTGTCTGAATTCCTGTGTCTTACAGAACAAAGCAGGGAGTTTTGTAGACCTCAGGATCTTAGAGAGAATGGGAAGCTAATTAAAAACTAGTTTCCAGTACCCCAGATAACCCTGCGTCCCTGCTTTATGAGCATGCAAGCTGTAGGTTGAGGCCACAGTCTTTGCTTGGTTTTTGCAAAGGAGACAAGATTTTTGTCTTCTGAAGTGGAAGTAAGGGAAAATTTAAAAGTAGATTGTGCTACTTTTGAAGTTTATTTTGTTCAAACTTAGCACACTATAACCATATTTTGTGGTGTTCTTTGTAGGTGGAAGTTTCTGTCCTGCCAGCAGCTCCCAAATAAACAGACTGAGGCTTATATTAACTACTGATGCTCAGTCAATAACTCAGGCTTGTTACTAGCTAACTCTTACATCTTAAATGAGCCCATATTTCTTGTCTGTGCCCTGCCACATAGCTTAGTACATTTTCTCAGTACAGTATATACTCATCTTGTTTCTTCCTGCATCTGCTGGCAATGTCTCTGACACCGCCCTTCTTCCTAAGCATCCTTAATGTGGCTTTCCTGCCTAACCTTATCCTGTTCAGCCATTGACCAGTCAGCTTCTTTATTAAACCAATCACAGCCACAAATCTTCCCAAATGTACAAAAGAATTATTCCACAGCAGTTATTTTTTACTGAACAGTATGCAGAGGTCATCCCTAGCTAGAGATGTAATGTCACCTTTGGGTTTTGAATTGCTCTAAGGCTTATGCCTACTGGCAGTCTATTCTTTTCCTCTTCTTCTCTTTCTCTTCTTCTTCTCCCTCTCTCTCTCTCTCCTCCCCTCTCTCCCTCTCTCTCTCTCTCTCTCTCTCTCTCTCACTGTCTCACACACGCACACGCACACACACACACACACACACACACACACACACACACACATCCTCTGACAACTTAGTGTCCTGAAGTTTTCCCAGTATGTGAATCTAATCAGCTTGAGCAATAACATCTTGTCCAGCATTAGCAAACTTGGGCCAGGCCTGTGCGGAGTGCTTCTTCATGCCATCTCTGTGAGACCCCCCAGTGCATCTTAGTGTGTTGTCTGTATTCATGTGCACTGTCTGGTGGCCTAGTATAGCATAAATCTTTCTGGCAGATGTGTGATGACATTTGCTGTGGCACTGTCATTGAATCTGTGTCCACACCTGATTTGGTCTCTATAGGTCACTCACTAAAGGCCTGCCTGATTTGCTTTCATGTTGTTGGATGACCGTCTTCAGGAAGCAAGTGGAAAACTCCACATCCCTTGGTTTATTGTACCACAGGGTTTGAAGTGTGACGTCACTGTCGCTTTAATTTTACCCATTTATTCTACAAGTATACCACTACTTCTGGTTTTTCTGGGCCTCATTGTTGGTCTGCTGGTGCGACAGCAGGGTAGTTTAGGAGATGGAGAGAACAGAGGCCTCCCTTTGGGGTGAAGAAAGTATGAGCCAATGAGTTAGGGTCTATTAGTCTCTGAAGGTCACAAGTTACAACAGTCAAGAGGCAGCAGTTTCCGAGTCAGTCCTAAGAGCCTGGGAACCTGTCAGAAGGTCTGAATGCAGGTTCTCTGTGTTTTCATCACCCAGGTGTCGTCCGGACTATAGGCCAAATAGTCCTTTGTCAGGCTTTCAGGGAGCCAGTGTTGCTCATTCAGTGAAGGTCAATTCCTCAGGTGAGTGAGGATGGGAATATCACCCAAGCAAATGATGGGTTTGGTGATGGAGGGAGGCTCTCTGAGGAGGCCTCACTGAGGGAGAGTAGTGCCCAATAGACTGGCAGTGTACCTACTGCCTGCAGTAGAAAATGACCAAGCACTGACATTGGATTTTACCATAGGGAGACCAAAGGAATCTCTACCAAGGGTTGCTGCAGGGACCAGCTTAGGCTTAGGTGACATCGTGTAAACACAGTACTCCTCTGAAAAGAAGGGGTGAGGAATGGTAGACAACTGGGCAGGGTTGCCTGAAGGACAAGAAAGGCTGGTCTGGCTGCTGCCAGAGGCCTAGGGCTGAGCGCTATATATTTAACCATAGCCACCTGGATCCAAATATTGCCAAATAAGGGTGGCTTCCCACTGAACTGAGTTCTAAAGCCTGTTATCGTTTGTTATACTTATTTATTTAGTGCAGGGTGAGGGTACACGGGCATGTAGAAGACAACTTGTGAAAGTTGTTTCTCTCCTCTCACCATGTGGGTCCCAAGAGTGGACTTGAGTCCTCAGCTATGTTGCTGACCCCCACCACACAGTCATGATGCTCACCTATTTTTTTATTTTTATTTTATTTTATTTTGAGACAAGGTCTCACTATGTAGCTCAACCTGGTCTTTTACTGAGGACCCTTTTACCTCCACCTTTCTTGAATAGCTGGAATCACAAGTGGGAGGAGCCATGTTTAGCTTCCATTTCACTATTGAAGAGCCATATAATCTTGTTCCTCATTTCTCTTGGTATCATCTGCTATGGGTTGCAGGCTTGGCTCTGTCTCACTATTGTAGAAGACAGCCCATCTGCTATAGGAGATCTCTCAGATCCACTCTTTCCCCAGCCATTTAATTGTGTTAAACATCTGTTTATCCTGGTGTGTCCTCAGCACCCACCCACCACCAAGTGCTCCCTTCTCATTTGAGACATCTTTCAAGTCTCAGACACTACGTCACTCCAGACTCTGTTTCGCCACAATAACTACTGCTCAGACTTGTGTTGCCATTACCTAGGTTGAGGAGTTGCCTCATCAGAGCACCAGAGGATATCTAAGACTAACTAAGTGCCTGCGCCTGGGGTTTTCCACAGAAGTTTGGGTCTCAAGTAGATGATCCACTTCCACTTTGGAGGGGGTACTTCTTGGGAGACAGTGTGGTTTAATGCCTATAGGTCCCATATGAATGCCTTGTGGGCCCTGCAGAAGGACTGTCTTTGTGAACAAGCAAGACCATAGACCAGAGCAAAGGTGAGCCAGTCTGCAACCAGAGCCAATCCATGGGATCCCAATGGCCTAGGGAGTGAAGTGTTAGAACTTTAAGCCCTTGAGAAACAATAGGTATATGCTTAGAAATCTTTATCACTTTTTTTTAAAAAAATCATTTATTTTCATGTGTATGTGTATGTTCCTAAATGAGCTCATGTACACTACATGTAACAGCCCATAGAAGGCAGAAGAAAGCATCTGATCCCCTAGAGCTGGAGTTGAGCACAAACCTCCTGAGTCCTGTTCAAAAGTAGCAAGGACTCTTGATGCTAAGTCCCTGAGCTATCTCTCCAATCCTACTTATCTTAAAAAAAAAAAAAAAAGAAAAAGAAAGAAAGAAAAAGAAAAAGAAAAAAAAGTTGGGGGATGGGGATGATAAGCCGTTCCTGGCCTAGAACTCATTATGTGTGTAGTAGGCTTTCTCTTGAGCCACTAACCAGCTCCCAAATCATGACACAGAGGTTTATTATTAGTTATGAATGCTCAGCCTTGGTAGCTTTTATAACTTAACCTGTTTCTCTTCATTTACATTTTGCCTCAGGGCTTTTTACCTTTCTTTGTGTATGTCTTGCTTTCCTGATGTTGCTATGGCTGGCTGACTGGCAGGCAGCTGCCTGGTTTCTAGCCCTAGGCATGTCCTTCTCTTTCTCTTCTCCTTTGCCTAGATTTCTCCTCCTTATTTTCTCTGCCCACAGCCCCACCTATCCTTTCACTGCCTAGCTATTGTCCATTCAGCACTTTACTAGACCAATCAGGTGCCTTGGGCAGGCAAGGTGAAACAAATACAACACATCTTTACATAATTAAACAAATGCAGCAGAAACAAATGTAACACACCTTCACATGGTGAAAGTGATATTCCCCAACATAAACAAATGTAACATATCTTTACATAGTTAAAATAATATTCTACAACAATGTAGACCAGTCTGCCCTCTAACCCACAAAGATATAATAGTCTCTGGCTCCTGTTATTATTTTTCAAGTGAAACTTTGGTTGATGAAGCCTACTAGATGGGACCAGCCCAGGAACCATATGTTTGCTCAGGACTCTGCCATAGAGAATACCAGTGTGAGCCTAGGGAGACAGGACAAAGCAGCTGTGTCAGTTTCTTGGATCTCACTTCAGCATGCCTTTCATTGACTTTATCAGACAAGGGATACCCAGGGATGTCAGGGTCTATCTATCGAACTGGACTCTTATGTGTCCTCTTTTCTTTCTCAGCCCCACAGGATCCTCTGATTCCTCTTGTCCTCACAGACCCAAGAAACCAAGATGGCAGCCACTGGACTTCTGCCACTGCCAGCAGGACCTCAGGTGAGGGCTCCCAAAAGCTTATTCAGTGGCTTAGCCAAAGCTCCTGCAGTTCCGTCTGTGCCCAAGCAGTCCAAGTATCACTGCCTCTCCTGAACTCCATCACTTCTTCCTATTGATGTCACGTGACTCTAAGGGCCACCACCAGTCTCCCATGTCACGCATACCACCTGGAGTTACTCAAAACCGGTTCCTTCCAGGTCAAGGTGACCTTCGAGGATGTGGCTGTTCTGCTGTCTCAGGAGGAGTGGGCCCGCCTGGGCCCTGCTCAGCGGGGCCTCTATAGAAATGTGATGATGGAGACCTATGGGAATGTGGTCTCTTTGGGTAAGACTCCTGGAGGGTTCCATCTGTGTGTCTCTGTGCCCCGGACTCATGGGGGTTTCCCAGGGAAAGCAGCTGCTGAAAAGAGGGGGACTCAGGGCAGACTGATCCTGAGGCTTGGTATCACCAAGTGCTCAGCTCCAAGAGGATGGAAGTCTTATCCTTTTTCCTGTGCCTGCATGGAGCATGGATTAAGGGAGTATCTTGGCAAATAGTGTATAATCCAGGGACTTCCCCTCCCTCCCCCCCAACCTCATGAGCAGGACTCCCAGGATCCAAGCCTGTTGTGATCTCCCAGCTGGAGCGAGGAGAAGATCCATGGGTCCTGGATGGGCAGGAAACTAAGCAAAGCCAGAGCCTGGGAAGTGGCCACTCAGGTGAGTAAAGAGTCCAGCTCCTGCTTTCACTGAAGATGTGATCTGGTTCCTAAGGGGTCACTGATGGAAGACGTTTCCATTGGTCAGGGGAGGGTCCTTCATTCCTCCCTTCCTCCCCTCACAATGTCCACAGACCAGGAGGTCCTGGGCCAGGCAGTGGTTCACAGAAGGAAGTGTAGGTAGGGTGGGAAGGGGAAGCTAGGTGGGGTGGCAAACCTTGTGACAAAGGAGAGAGGAGAGGGTAGCTGATCTGTGGACAGGCAAGGGAAAGACCATAGTTGTTTTTGTTCTGGTTTGGGTTATTATTTTTTTTAAGGCAGCCCTTGTAGGTATCGTAGACTGGTACTGAATTCAGCCCTCTTGCCTTAACCTCTCAAGTGCTGTGATTATAGGCATGTACCACCCACCACCCCCACTAATGTTAACCTTTTCATTTTGTGTTTGTTGTTTCAGAATGGAAAACCAAGGAAGAAAACCAAAACTTGAGCTTACAGCCATTGATTTCAGATGAAAAAACAGTGATTCTGGAAGAAACACCATTGAAGAAGGCTAATGAACATCACAAAACTGAGCAGAACTTCAGCCCAAGTCCAAGCCCTGATGGCCCCCATAATGTCCAGGGATCAAATCCTAATATACCAATTGCTAGACAACAAGTGGCTCCTAGCGTCGAGAGACCCTACATGTGCATTGAGTGTGGAAAGTGCTTCGGTAGGAGCTCGCATCTCCTTCAGCATCAGCGAATACACACTGGTGAGAAGCCCTATGTGTGCCATGTGTGTGGGAAGGCCTTCAGCCAGAGTTCTGTCCTTAGTAAGCACAGGCGGATCCACACAGGTGAAAAGCCCTATGAGTGTAATGAATGTGGCAAAGCCTTTAGAGTGAGCTCAGACCTTGCCCAGCACCACAAGATACACACAGGAGAGAAGCCTCATGAATGTCTAGAATGTGGGAAGGCATTCACTCAGCTGTCACACCTCATCCAGCATCAGCGAATCCACACAGGGGAGAGGCCATATGTGTGTCCCTTGTGTGGGAAAGCCTTCAACCATAGCACTGTCCTAAGGAGCCACCAGAGAGTGCACACTGGGGAGAAGCCTCATGGGTGCAGTGAGTGTGGGAAGACCTTCAGTGTGAAGAGGACATTGCTACAGCACCAGCGGGTCCACACTGGGGAGAAACCCTACTCATGCAGTGAGTGTGGCAAGGCCTTCAGTGACCGCTCTGTGCTCATTCAACATCACAATGTGCACACTGGGGAAAAGCCATATGAGTGTAGTGAGTGTGGCAAGACCTTTAGCCACCGCTCCACCCTGATGAATCATGAGAGGATTCACACTGAGGAGAAACCCTACGCATGCTATGAGTGTGGGAAAGCCTTTGTTCAGCACTCGCACCTCATCCAGCACCAGAGAGTCCACACCGGAGAGAAACCCTACGTGTGCAGTGAGTGTGGACATGCTTTTAGTGCACGCAGGTCCCTGATCCAGCATGAGAGAATTCACACAGGCGAGAAACCCTTTCAGTGCACAGAGTGTGGCAAAGCGTTCAGCCTGAAGGCAACTCTCATTGTGCACCTGAGGACCCACACGGGCGAGAAGCCCTATGAGTGCAATAGCTGTGGCAAAGCCTTCAGCCAGTACTCAGTACTCATCCAGCACCAGAGGATCCACACAGGAGAGAAACCCTATGAGTGTGGGGAGTGTGGACGTGCCTTCAACCAGCATGGGCACCTAATTCAGCATCAGAAAGTACACAAGAAGCTGTGATCCATGGCTGTCAGATGCCCAGTTTAGAACGTGACCAGTTTTCCTCCCAGGAAGTTCAGTTAAATCTGAGGACCTTTCCTTCCTAGCGAAAACGTTCTACAAATGTTACTTCATGACTTTGCTAATTGTATTGAATCATTCTAATACTGTATTTAAATTTACTTTTGGGTTTGTTTTGGGGGGACATCTTGAAACAAGGTGTCTGTGTAGGCCTGGCTGTCTTAGAACTCCCTCTATAGACCAGGATGGCCTCCAACTGTCTCTGCCTTCATGCTAGGGGATTAAAGGCCTGTGCCAACACCACATGACTCTTGGTGTTCTTACAAAAACACTTAAAATACTATGTGGAAAAAAATTTTAAAAAAAATTGTTAAATTTTATTAAAAAATTTAATATTAAAAAAAAATCAGGCTGGAGAGACAGCTCAGTAATTAAGAGCAATGGCTGTTCTTCCAGAGGTCCATTCAATTCCCAGAAACCACAAGGTGGCTCACAAACATCTGTAAAGAGATCTGGTGCCCTCTTCTGGCCTGCAAGGATAATTGTACATAATAAATCATTTTTAAAAAAACCTTGGGCCAGAAATTTTCAGTGGATAAACCTTGATAACCTGAATTTGCTTTCTAGAACCTACATGCTTTGGAAAGAACTACTCCCACAAGTTGTCCCACAAGACATCTATGTGAGTTCCAAACACATGAGTGTGTGATATGCACACAAAATTGATTTTAAATGTCTGAAATGGTAGCTCTGAGTTTGGAAAAATAGAAACATTAGTGAGAATTTACGTAAACTAAAAAAAAAAAAAAAACTGGTATCTGTCCTAGGGTTTCTATTGTCCTGAAAAAAACAGCATAACCAAAGCAATTTAGAAGAAATGTTTTATTTCACTTCCACATAGGAAGTCACAGGCCACGGAGTAACAACATTGCTTACTTGCTTGCTCCTCCTGGCTGTTTTCTGTTCAGGTAGGATCCACTCACCTGTTGATCATCCCATGGCACCAGCATCTCCAAAATGCTAGGTGCTCTTGAACTCTAACCTTGCCATACAGTGCCAAGCCTGTTTGTCTCTAGGATCCCTTCAATTAGAGGCTGCACCTTCACTGGTCTCTCATAGTGCCAAGCCTCAGCTTGAAACCACACAAGCCTTCAAAACCTATTACCTATTACTTTCAATTGCCTGCTTCTGGACCACAGCTTCTGAATGCTAAACCTGAGGAAATTCTGATTTCAGCTCAATGACATTGATCCCCCACCCTACCCCCCCCCCCACAGAAGTGGCTTAAGGACTTGCTCAGTTCTTTACAGCCCAGGAGTAGCACTGCCTATAATGGGCTGTACTCTCCCATGTCAATCATAAATCAAGAAAATGCTTAGCAGATTTGCCTATAGACAATCACATGCAGGCACTCTTTTAATTGGGTCCCTATCCCCAAGATTCTAGCTTATGTCAAGAAAAAAAAGTGCCCGATATGATTTTCTGACCCTCTAGTGAAAATTCAACTCATGGGACAAATGGCTCAGTGGGTTGTTTGCCACCAAGCTTGACAACCTGAGTGCAATCACCAGAACCCACATGGTGGACAGAGGGAGCACCTAGTCCTCTGACATCCACACTCCTCCATGGTATGCACCTGCACACAAACATGTACAACAGAAACAAGCCACCCACCCAAATTCCAGGCCCAGCATGTCATGTTCAAGTCCTTCCTAGGGGGCCAACTTCTGACCCTGAACACTTGGGTGTTTTTCCTGTAGTATCTTCCACTCCCTGTACCAAGGTGCTCCATGACAGGGATCCCCTCCCCAAAATAAACTTAGGCTCATACAACCTTTTAGCCAAAGGACATCATACTTTATTATTAGTTCCTGAGTTCTAGTTCTCTTTCTCTTGCACAGTTTTGGTTCCACGTAGTCGCCCAGTCCGACGGGCAGCAATGAGACCCACTTTGCGACCAGCAGGGGCATCTCTTCGGATAGTGGATGGTTTGCCAATGTGCTGGTGGTTACCACCTCCAAAGGGATGCTCTACAGGCTGTAGAGAGAATGAGGTTAGAGTGAGTTATCCTCACCTACCTGGGGCAGACAGTGGCAGAATCTACTCTACTGCCTAGGGCCTCCCCAATATAGCTCCTAGCTGGAATACTACCCCATCCACCGTGCGCAGTCACTTACATTCATGGCCACACCCCGTACACGTGGCCAGCAGTTCCTCTTTGCCTTGTACTTGTGGTAGGCACGGCCAGCCTTTAAGATAGGTTTGTCAATTCTACCTCCACCGGCCACAACACCTGCAAAAACACAACACCTCTGAGATATGAAAAGCCCTCCAGCCTCAAAGAAATGTACCAATCAAGAGCCTGTGCACTCCAGCAGGTTTCACTCATAAAACCCCTTAGACCCTGCAATCATTTACATTGACAGGCAAGCTGAAGACTGCTGCATTAAGCAAAATGTTGGCTCTGCCCAAATTCCCAGGGTTGCACTTCCTCAACATTCAGAATCAGGACATGTCATTCATCTTAAGACACCTCCCATAAAAAAAAAAAAAAAAAAAAAAAAAAAAGGCAAACTCCATGGATTGAAGCAAGGCATCCTCTTGGAATCTATGCAACCATGAGTTTAGCAGATTGCAAAAATGTTACCAAGTCACCCAACAAGAGTTCTGACTCATGTCCCGTTTCACGGACTTGGGCATCCTTCTCTAAAAACAACTAGACACAAGGACAAGATTGCTAGGTTAAGGCACAACATACAAAACTCCAAATGGCTTAATCTTTTGCTAACTTTTATTTTATGCATATGGATGCATGTACAAACCTACATGTATGTCTGTATACATGTGTGCAGGGCCCATAAGACAGAATCAGATCCCCTGGGACTAGAGCTACAGTGGTAGGTAACCTGGGAAAAGAACCTGGGTTCTCTGGAAGAGCAACGAGTGCTTTTAATCGCTGAGCTATCATCTCTACAGGCCATGCTGTAACAAAAGCACATAGTAGGTACTGTACCACTCTACAATTCAATTTATCCTGTGTTCAAAGAGCATACCCCCAAGAACAAGTAAATAAGGAATCAGGTTCTAGGGCCTCGGCCTAGCAGCTGACACTTCATATGGTGACCAACTAGTCTTCAGGGTTCCACTAGTTTCTGAGACTCACCAACAACAGCTCTGTTGGCAGAGGAAATAACCTTCTTAGACCCTGAAGGCAGCTTCACTCGAGTCTTCTTGGTCTCAGGGTTGTGGGAGATGACTGTGGCATAGTTCCCGGAGGCTCGTGCCAGCTTGCCCCTGTCCCCAGGCTTCTCCTCCAGACAACACACGATAGTACCTTCAGGCATGGTGCCCACGGGCAAAACATTGCCAATATTTAGCTGGGCTGTCAAGAGAAGTGGAAAAGCGACCAATAGCAATGCGAGCCCACACCGCTCCCGCTATAGAGCACAGCCCTTCCTTCCCAGCCTGAGGCTCACCCTTCTTGCCGCAGTACACAAACTGCCCAGTGTGGATTCCCTCTGCGGCGATGAACAGCTCCGTCCGCTTCTTAAACCGGTAGGGATCACGAAAGACCACTTTAGCGAGGGGGGCGCCGCGACCGGGGTCATGAATGATATCCTACAGGTAAAGATGGCATGATCATAAGGCCTGCTCGAGGCGCCCTGTTCCCAGCCTGCTGCTCCCGCCGAAGCCCTCATACCTTGACGATACCCTTAATATAGCCGTGCCGCTCAGCGAAGTCCACAGCACGAAGGCGCGCGGCGCCCTTACGGTGTTTCACGTGAGCTCTGAAGACAGAACCGGCGCCTTTCCTCTGCCCTCGGATCACACGGCCCATGGCGGCGAGTCTAGAAAGGGGTCACATTCAGCGTTCAATAGGAAAATACCAAGCTCCTGACAGCTCCCAAGACCGATAACACCGCCATCCCTCCCTCCCTGTCTTGGATGAGTGGATCAAGAAGCATGGCAGACCACCGAGTTGCTCACGGTGGAGGATGGCAGTGGATAGTTTCAAACTCGCAGCAACCAAAGAACAACCTACCTGCCAGCAAGCCCGGCCGAAAGAGGAAATACTCGGCGGCAAGCAGCAGCCTTATCTTCCGGGGCGGGGCAACACATCCCCTTCCGCGGCGCGATGCCTGTTGGGATTTGTAGTCACCTGCGGGTGCCATTTGTCTCTTTCCTACTAGTGGCACTGAGACTTACACTTACCTAGGTGCCCTGGGGAGAGGCAGACTCTGAGGAAACTAACTCAGGAGTCTTATGGAGGGCAAGTGGGCGGCGGCGGCGGCTTCCAGAGGTGGAAGTATTTGTCCAGGGCCACACAGAACTGAGGCTGAGAATACGAGATTCTGAGCTTGGCTCAGACAAGTACTTCCATGGAAGAAGGAGTTTGGCTGTGCAGACACGGGAAACCCAGAGCTTTGCACAAGTAGATTGGGAACTGGAAGCCTAGCGGTGGTGCATGCCATTAATACCAGCACTCCGGAGGGCAGAGGCAGGTAGAGTTCAAGGGCAGCCTGTCTGGTCTAGAGAGCATGTTCAAAGGACTGCCAGAGCTACACAAAAACACTCTGCCTTGAAAGACAAACAAACGAAAGGAAGAAAAAAGATTTAGGTGGCAGAAGGCCACTTGCTGAGTCCTCAAGAAATCTGGCAAAGAAGCCAAAAAAGTCTTCTCCTCTGCTTACAATTAGGACAAAGATGTTAGGCAACGACTCTGGAGAGTAAAGGGGAGCAAAGAACGAGACAAGAGTATCTACTTGGCAAGAAAGTGACTCCTAGATGTCTTTGGTGGCATAGAGGCTTCAAAGAGAGGGTCTTCATTTAAGTGAACCCTGACAGTAGGCAATGCTGTAAAGGTAGAGACAGAGAGGGAGGTAAATGAGGGTTCAGGGTTCCAGTGGTAATAGAGGCTCCTAGTCAGAACTGGAAGAACAGGGCGCCTCGAGCAGGCCTTATGATCATGCCATCTTTACCTGTAGGATATCATTCAGGACCCCGGTCATAATGAGATAATGAGGAAGGGGCATCCATATGCCAGGTGGTCCGGCACACTGAGAAGGGGGAGGGACACCCAGAGTCACCTGCAGGGGCCTCATAGACCTACATCACCTTACAGTGGTGGCTAATTTGGGTGACGATGGCAAGCATTGGGGGACTCAGGGATTGGTCTCATCTCTCTGCTATTAGGTTCTGTTTCTGCCGGTGAGCATGACCCCTCATTTAAGCCATAGTCAGCTAATCTTTAGACGTAATTTTAAAAACCACTTGTGTATTTCCTTTTAGTATCACTCCCTGTGTCGTGGATTCACTCTTGTTTGCTAATAAGATTCATCTAAATAGTGGTTCAAGCTAGAATGTTTGTTCTGTATTGTCATATCTCCTATCTCTCTCTCTCTAACTTCCAGAGACAAGTTTTCTTTGTGTAGCCTTGGCTGTCCTGGAATTCACTCTGTAGACCAGGCTGGCCTCAAACTCAGATATCTGCCTGCCTCTGTCTCCACCACCACCTGGCACAAAGACACTCAAGATATGCCCAGCGCTTCCAAACTTCCCATGGAGAGATGAGGGTAAAAGTACTATGCTAGTACAGTGGATACATTCAAAAGTAATGAATGAATCATTACACTGAGTAGTAGCTTTACTTCACTGGCAGCCGTTGTACCAGCTGATGCCTCTGCAGAGTACACATCAATCTACCTCCTATGTCTGCATAGACACCAAATGTTCAGAGACCATCCTGTGACCCATCTTGTCATGATGGCCCACCTTCCAAACATAACTGTTCTCACCTGACTGGGCTCTATTAATTGTCACAAGCTTTATTCGTTGGTCACTGTTTTAGATTCATTATTTTGAGTACGAATGTTTTGCCTGAAGGTATGTGTGTACCACATATGAGCCTGATGTCCTGGTGTTGGACACCCCTGCAATTGGAGTTACAGAAGGTTGTGAGCCACCATGTGGGTGCTGGGAATTGAACCTAAGTCCTCTGCAAGAACAGTAAGTGCTCTTAACTGCTGAGCCAATCTTCCAGCCCTATACTCATGTTTTAATGTTTAAAATATGCACTTAATATTATATATACTAAACATTATAAATACATATTTAGTATTTATAATGTCTCCCCCTTTACCTCCCCACTAGGATATCAGCTTCAGGAAGGCAGGAGTTTAAGGCAAAAAGAAAATAACATGTGCACAACAAAGCATAGGACTTGTGAAACCAAAGAAGCAGAGTGCTCAGGTCAGGCTGAGCAACCTTGTTGTTGATTGCAACAGGTCCTTATCTGGGCCCTAGATCTCCACATGTCCAACAGCTGGGGAAAGAACCAGTATAAGGGTTAACACCCAAATAGAAGAACATGTTTTTAATAGTTGTTTTACTTCTTAGTTTAAAACTTAACTTCACTATGTAACCCAAGCTGACCTTACATTTACCATTCTCCAGCCTGAGCCTTCCAAGTGTTGAGATTATAAATGTCACTGTTCCCATAGTTCACTCATAAAAACAAACCAAACCAGAAAGTCACACCTGTCTTTTCCCTAAAAAAAAAAAAAAAAAAAAAAAAAAATCCTTATATGCAGGCCCTCAGTTGAGTTGGCCTCATGCCCAGTGGGACTGCAAGTTATTGGTACCAGTTTCAGCACCCACAACACCAGGGTTCAGTCCTGTAGTTTGCGCTCACACTTTTTCTCCAGTTCCGCCATCTCTTTAAGGACCAAGGCAACACTGTACCGCAGCTCCTGGAATTTGGCCACGGGAACCTCGAAACGATGTGCAGTTCCATCGGTGAGCTTCAGCTGCATGAGAACACTCGGCTGCAGAGAGCGGGACTGAGTACTTGTGGAGATGGCCACATCCACCCGCCATCGGAAGTAAGATATGTGGGGCAGCCAGGACGCCTGCTGTTGGGCCACTGAGTCGAGAAGAGGGCGCTGACTCCCAAATACCAAACTGGCCAAATCTCCAATCAGATCCCGAGGGATGCCAAGCTCCTGGAGCTCATCCTGGAAGGCTTCTGGCTTCAGACTGCCAGGGGGCCGCCGGAGTGCTTGCTGGAGTAGTGTGTGTATGCCTGCTAACAGGACGGCCAGACGCTCGTCTGACAGGTTGGCACTGGCCCCAAGATGCTGCACGGCTTCTCTGCAGTCTTTCCCATGCAGGGCCCCAACCACAAGCTTCAGCAACTTTCTGAAGGTGCTCTTGTCCAAGTCCCTCATGAGCTGAGCCACTGCCGCCACTTGTGGAGAGGGCTGGGCTCCCAGGAAACTGACCCGGCCACTGTGACTGTCTGCTGGATGGTGCAGGTACGGAGCTGCAGTCCCCAAAGCAGACATTCTTGCTTCCCCTTTCCTGATCAGTCCGAAGAAGAGGTCCTAACCACAGCTGCCTGGAGACAGGAAGGAGAGACAAGTGACTCCCTGGTCAGGAGCTCCATGAACCAAAATATGACCGTCTATGTGCGGCCCCATCCGCCTGTCACTGTCCACATGAACTACCAACTGGGATGCGTGCTTGGAAGGTGGCGCTGAGACCGTATGGCAAAGGAACCCACCTGAGTTTAGGAGAAGGGAGGCCTCCCAGTTGGCAGGGGGAAAACAAAACAAAACAAAACAAAAAACCAAGAACCAGAAGCGCACGCCTAAGTCCTACGTAAGCAGTATTAGAGAATTTGGACAACGCAGCTGAGGCCCCTCCCCTACTCAATCCCGAATCCTAAAATCACAGCTCTGGAAAACCTAATCTCACATTACAAATATAATCCAATCCTTTAAAGCTCTCAGCACCTGGAAGAAGCTGTCTGTTAGTAGCTTGCGGCGGCTGCAAAAGCAGAAAGCTGGCCGGGCCTCCGGAAAGGCCCACAGATACTTCCGGGACACTCTAGGATAGCACGATGGAAGCCCTCTATGATTCCCGGATTCGCGCGCATGCGCCGGAGGGCTGCGGGACTCCGGCGTGTCTTCTGACTCTTAAAGCTTGCTCTTCTATAGAAGAGGAAGCAGAAATCAAAGGTTTATTTAGCTTCCGGAATCGGATTCAAAGCTGCAGCTATTCAGCGCATAGGCAGTCTAGTGTGAGGGGCACACGCTAGAATCGTTGTAGCTGGTGCTACCGAATTGCATATTTTAAAATAGATGAGCCAGATGGCGACGCACGTCTTTAAAATCAGCTCTCGGGCCGGGTCTGGTGGCGTATGCCTTTAATCTCAGCATTTGGATTTCTGTGAGTTCAAGGTCTGCCTGCTTTACCGAGTGATTTCCAGTACAGCCAGGACTCGCACAGAGGAACCCTGTCTTGAAAAAACAAAATAGCAACAAAAACAACACGTGGGAGTACACGCAGACAGATCTGTATGAGTTCTAGACCAGCCTGGTTGAGATATCGATTCCCGGCCAGCAAAGGCTACATAGTGAGACCCTGTGTTAAAAACAAAAAAGTTCCCCACAGGGGACCGGGGCGGAGCAGGTTGGGTGGTGTATATGGTGTATACAGTATAGATAGCTCCATAGAGCTTTAACTGGGGGTGGGAGCTAATTAAGAGGGCAAAAGACTGGATAGACATCTCATCAAGGATGATGTAAATGGCTAATGACTCAGACCTGGTGATAGAAGGCAGTGATCCCAAGAGGCGGGGCAAGATGGTCATAAATCCAAGGCAGGGCTGTCTGGGTTCCAGAGTGAGTTCAAGACCAACCTGCGTAACTCTAGTGAATTGCTTTATCTAAATAGATTGGAGGAAGTTGGGTGTTGTGGCGCACACCTTTAATCCCAGCACTTGGGAGGCAGGCAGATGTCTGAGTTTCAGGCCAGTCAGGGCTACACAGAGACCGTCTTTAAATAAATGAATATTGGTGTGTGTGTGTGTGCACATACATATATATGTACATAAATTGTGTCTATATACATATATACACTTATGTTCAATAAACACATAAAAGAACGTGCTCACCACTCTAAAAATCAGAATCACAATAAGGAACAATTTCCCACCCTTCAAATAAGCAGGTTGATTACAACAAATGCTGAGATGTGTGTGCCCTGCAGTAATTGCAACACCCATGCTGTCTATGGAATATAAAGCAGTACAACTACTTGGAAGAGCTGTCCAGAGGCTTCCATTTAAATATGTAAGGGTGAAGGAAACAGTTCAGTGGGAGAGATTTGCCTAACAATCTCTGACTGTCTCTGCCTCCTAAGTGCTGGGGTTAAAAGTGTATGCCATCACAGGTTGCTCCATCTTCTGTTCTTAATCCTTAGCCCTCCTCCAAACCCAACTTGAGCAGGCAGGGTGCTTTACAAAACCCTACTGCAGGGAAAGGGTGTGGCTCAATGGCAGGTGTAAAGCAAGGCCCAGGGTTCTGTTCCAACTTCTCCCCAAGCTCTGGGGAGAAAAACTGAAATAAACCTAAACAGTTCCTATAAGATACCCCCAGTGATGTCCCATATTCTAGAATAAAATGCAAAATTCTAACTGGGCTTACAAGTTTTTGGTCTATTCTCCCTCCCATCTTGTTCCCTGTACCCCAATCCATCACATCTTCTATTCTTTCACCCTGTCCTGGGCCAAATCCATCACATCTTCTATTCTTTCACCCTGTCCTGGGCCATGAGGCAGTAGTCCACGGCCTAAGCCATGCCCTTCCTGCCAGTGGCCTCAAAAGGTCTGTCAGGCAGACATTCAGAAGCAGACACACTTAGGGAGAGCATAGTTCCAGACTAACTAGTTCTCTGAACTCCCCTGGGAAGTGGAGAACTGGGTAGGTGCTAGTGTAGGCCTGCTGTTTGTGATGTGAGGGAAAGGATACTCATGTTACTTCCTTATCCTCTACCAGGGATGTTAACATACATGGTGTGGGCCACCACCATGTGGCTGCACATTAATTCTTATACCTACCCTATGGCAGTGCATTTTTTAAATAGTTAGCTCTGAATTTTACAATGTGAGATATTCTGGCTCACACGGAATATCCTGAACCCCAAAATGACTTAAAGCCATTGCCAAGCGGCCATGGTATTTCTACTTTATTTTTATATGCATTGGTATTTTGCCTGCATTTATGTATGAGTATCAGATTCCCTGGAGATAGGATTACAGTCTATTGTGAGCTGTCATGTGGGTGCTGGGAATTGAGCCCAGGTTCTTTGGCAAAACAGCCAGTGCTCTTAACCACTGAGCCATCTCTCCAGCTCCTGGCCATGGTATTTCTAAACCTAGCATTGGTGTATAGCTAATGTTGGGCATCTCCACATAAAAGCTGCATTTAGGAACCATACCTGCCTCTCAAAAGAAAGGGATTGGATCCTGAGTGTGGCTATGATGGGTGATAAATTTTATGTGGGGTCAACTGGGGCTAGGGGTGTAACTCAGTGGTAGAACACTTAATAGCACACTTGAGCCCTCAGTTATTACCTCACAAAGGAAAATAAGGGATAAGGTGAAGCAGAAATGAATTCTAGCACATTTGCTTCTGGCTGCCTTTTAAATGAGCTAAAAGATTTCCTTACTGGTGAAGCCACATTAAGTAACTGATCCAGAGGGAAAACATTTTGGGTGACTTTTGGTGGCTTCACTTAAGCTGTTGCTTAGAAGGGCTCCCACAGCTTTCCTGATAACCATTTCTCATCTGTAGGACAGAGATCTACTCTGAGTTTAAAACACAGGCTACACCTTGAGTATGACACACACTTTATTTAGTGGGTAAATACCAAATATTACAGAAACAAAACATTTTCATAAGTAGAATATTCATAAGAACAAATCTGAGTCTCTCCCAGTATTCTTAGGTTTCAGTTAGCATAAATTATCCAAATTGAATAAGGCTTCAGGTTTATTCAGTTACATATATAGTGTGGTGTTTGATGAGAACGGCCCATAGGCTCATCTGTATGAATACTTGGTCCTCGTTGATGGAACTGTTTGGGAGGATTAGGAGGTGTGGTCTAGGAGGGAATGTGTCACTAGGGGGATGAGCTCTGAGGTTTCAAAAAACTCCATTTCCAGTTAGTCCTCTCCACCTAGTAATTGTCTCAAGATGTGAGCTCTCAGCTACTGCTCCAGCACCGTGTGCCTACCTGATTGCCTGCCGCCATGTCCCCCACCATAAAGGCCATGAATGCTCTCTGAAACTGTAAGCCCCAAATAAACTCTTTTGAAAATTACCTTGACCGTGGTGACATCACAGCAATAGTGAATTAACCAAGGCCTTTAGGTAAATGATTTATTCCATGTGAATTTTTTTGGTGCTGAGTGAGCCTTGAGTTCCGATTGAAAGCTTTGCCACAAGCATTACATTTGTAAGGCTTCTCTCCTGTGTGAATCCTCTGGTGTATAATTAGGTGTGAATGCCACCTGAATATTTTATCACACTCATCACACTGGTGCAATTTCTTTACAGTGTTCACTTTTTTAGAGTTCAAAAAGGAGCTACTACCAACAGTGTTTCCATATTCACAGTGCCACTGGGCTCGCATGTGGATTCTCTGGTGTTCAATAAGGTATGAGCTGCGGCTGAAGGCCTTTCCACACTCACTACATTCGTAGGGCTTCACTCCAGCATGGATTATCTGGTGCTGAAAAAGAGTTGAATTTTGACTGAAGGCTTTTCCACACTCACTGCACTTATAGGGCCTCTCCCCAGTGTGAACCCTCTGGTGGATGGTGAGCTGTGTGCTCATACTAAAGGCTTTTCCACACTGGATGCATGCATATGGCTTCTCTCCCTTATGAATCCTCTGGTGGTAAATGAGACTGGAGCTCTGGCTGAAAGCTTTCCCACAGTCATCACACACATATGGCTTCTCTCCTGTATGAATTCGCTGATGCTGAATAAGATGCGAGCCCTGGACAAAGCCCTTCCCACACACATCACATTTAAATGGTTTTTCTCCAGTGTGAGTTCTCTGATGGCGAATGAGCCGTGAGCTACAACCAAAGGCTTTTGTGCACTTGTTGCACTTATAAGGTTTCTCTCCGGTATGAATCAGCCTGTGCTGATTTAGGCGAGAGACCCACCTGAAGGCTTTCCCACACTCCTCACACTTAAATGGCTTCTCTGCAGTGTTATTTTTCTCATGGGCAGTAAGGCTTGGGCTTTCTGAAGCTCTTGGCATTTGAGATCTCTCCCCAGTATGCATCTTCTGATGCTGGGCTAGAGTTGAGCTCTGGCTGAAGGCCTTGCCACACTTATGGCAGGGGTGGGGCCTCTCTCCAGTGTGAGTCCTCTGATGTCTCACCAGCTGTGATTGCTGGCTGAAGGCTTTCCCACACTCTTGACAAAAATAGGGCCTTTCTCCTGTGTGGATTCTCTGATGATGGATAAGGCTTGAGCTCTGACCAAAGGTTTTCCCACACTCCTCACATCTGTAAGGCTTCTCTCCAGTATGAATTCTTTGATGCTGAATCAGTTTAGAGCTCAAACGGAAAGCTTTCCCACAATTAACACACTTAAATGGTTTCTCTCCAGTGTGGATTCTCTGATGCTGATTGAGTTGTGAACACAGCCTGAAGACTTTCCCACATTCCTCACATTCAAAAGGTTTCTTCCCATGGCAGTTACTTGTGCATTTCTCCTCTAAACAGTCAGATAATTTTTTGTGGCACTCTTGACATCTGTATGGTTTCTCCTGCACATTCACTTCCAGGTACGGATCCAGGTTCAAAGTTGGTCTAAAGACTCTACCACACACTTCACAGTTTTCTGATGCCCCTTTCACACCATCTCTCTGTTCATCAGGCTGATAACCCAGAACAGTGACCTGTAGCTCCTGGACAGTGTCCCTGGGAGCCATAGTCTC